CTCTTTCTGAGTATGCATATCCATAATTCATCGTACTTTTGCTTCATAGACAAAAATGTTGCTTAAAATAAACTTGTTTTCACAGTCACCAAGGCTGAAGGCAAATAGTTCTTTAAAAAAGAGCATGTACATAATAAAATAGGTTGTTGTGCCAGCATTATCCTTTGTGCTCCTGACGCTCTATTATGCTCAAAAAATGCCAGCCTAATATTCTCAGGCTTAATGATGCCCATGTCACTCACTTTTGTTATTGCTCTGTAAACAAGTGGGATCCATTTTGTAGTTTGTTGTCTCTTATTGAATCCAAGAATTTTTTCAGTTTCACACAAAGTGACTTGTCTTTCTTGAAATCGTAGAAATGATAAGTTGTCCAATTATATAATACGATAAGTACTCTAAGTAGGAAAAAATGTGAAAAATACAAGAAAAGAAGAATTATTACAAGTGTTTATTTGTACTTTTCCATACAATACTGTAGTTAAAAATAAGTTTTAGACAAACCAATTAGTAATTTTGCAAAGCACAATTAATTATCAAAATCAAAAGTATTGTATAAAATAGGCATATATACATGTAGCTCAATATTAAACTCATTGTGTTTACATTACGGTATGTCCTGCAAACGCATGGCTAAAAGTGCAGAATAGTGAATTAGTTTATTTATTCAAAAACAGTTTGAGATAGGTAGGCTTACTGCAGGGGCAAAATTGGGGGGAGCAAGCTCCAAAAAATTTTCTAGTAAAGCATAAAATTAGTTTCATCTATGTAAACTGTAAATCAGTGCAGTACGTGACTGTAATCAATGTATTAACCACAAAAAGCTCATTAAGAGGCCAAATCTTCAAAATTTTGACTTTCCAAATGAATTCCTGCAAACCTGGTTGGCCTCACTTACTAATTACTCCATTCACACTATTAAGGCCAGCCCAAAAAAATTCAATCCTAGATACACCCCTGGTCTACTTTATTTTGTGCTGTATTTCACTTATCAGCTTTTTAAACATCTCCCTCTTCAGCGGGGCCAAAAGTTATTACGATAATCAAAAATTTACTGTACTTCTGGTCTCAAGAAAAAATTTTCAACCCCACTTGACAGTACCTGAGGCGAATTGGTAGAATATAATTGTTCTAAGAACTTATTTCTTGCGACGGCATCAGCATCATACAGTTGCGATATATATTTAAAAGCTTATTGGAATCACAAAAGGATCTGTATGTCATTAAATTGTTTGCAAATATACCGGATCTAAAAAAGAAAAACAGAACAAAACTGATTTTGTTAAAATTTTATTCGGGTGCTTTAAAATGTGCACATTTACAACAATGTTAAATCAAAATTTTTGTATTATCACCCTTAGCAATAAAAATAAAAAATATTTGGCACATACACCATAGAGTTACATGTATGTGTATGTATGTACACACACCTGCATATTCATGAAAAGTCAATCTTTTTACTAATTTATGTAGACTTCCTGCTTTGATGATAACCTTACCATCACTTGGTTCAAGCAAGATGTTGTCTTTGCAATCGGGTTCTGCAAACCTACATGTATGGCTCTTATCATGTGCATTTATCATGGCTTATTATGCATACAACAGTGTGAAGATTGAAGTATATACATGTAGTATGTTTAACAAATGATACGTACTCTACAAGATTACTTTGTTCAAGCAAGATGTTGTCTTTGCAATCGAGTTCTGCAAACCTACATGAATGGCTCATATCATGTGCATTTATCATGACTTATTATACATACAACAATGTGAAGATTGAAGTATTATACATGTAGTATGTTTAACAAATTAAAATTCCAACATAGTAAATCCCCTCCAGCAAGTACAACTAGACAAGCCAGTCCCAATAAATGAAAACAATAATCATGCTTACATATCCTCTTGACAAATGCACTTTTTACAAAAAATTTTACTGGTATAGTTTTGCATCTGGTAGGAGTTGAGGGAGGCTCCTTTCTTCTTCTTTCTCCTTTTCATCTATTATTCTTTGAAATTGACTGCAAGAATTGTGGAGAAATAGATTATATGCATAACATAAACATTGCATGTACCTCCTCACTAATAATACAACAATAGCAAAAATCTAGGTTTTTTTCTTTTTTAGATTTGGCATAAAATTTATACCATTTCAAACAATCTGTTAGCATAAAACTTTCATCTGCAAAAAATTACCCGTTGTCACAGTAACATTAGTTGTCATGGTTACCTTCTTCATTGTCAGCTAGCTTAAAATTGGCTGCTTTAATGTTCATCATTCCTTTGAGTTTATATTTCCTTGCCATCACAGGCGGTTCCAGGATTGTGGAAGCTGGTCGACAAGAAAGTGAATAAAATGACGCACGAAGCGCGCCGCGATTTTGAATACACCCACTTTCTTTTCTGCTATCGCTCTGCGCAGAACTACGCTTTTCCATAATATTAGGGGCCTCGCAATATTTAATTTCTCACCATTGTCATCATCTGTGCATGTGCCGTGAGTGTGACTTTGTGATTGACTATGAGACATTAGTCTTGCTAGCCAGACCATTCCCCAGCCTACAGTCATTGCCGTCCACCCAATGACTGTAGGCTGGGGAATGGTCTGGCTAGCGAGACTAATCAGACTCAGCATAACTAGAAGAAGTATCACATGGAAGATCATAATCATTAGTCTCTAACTCTGTGAAATCAACTGACACTAGATCTGACTCATCTATAGAAATTTCAGGTAGTAAATTTTGTGTGCAGCTGCCATTAACACAACTGATGCTTTATGACAAGCAGTACTGGCTTATTTATAGAGATCTATACATGTTAGCTATTAACCTTACTTCTTTCAATAAGGTCATCATCATTGGTATTTCTTTTTTTGGTTTAGGAGGCAAGAAAGAAAGGAGAAATGCTTGACGCTTGGTTGCCATTGCAAGAAATGATTACAAAATTAACATTCAAAATATTCATGAAAAGTTAATTTTAATAACAATTATAATTTATTTTAATGATTATGATGACTTCCTTTTCCTGTCCAAACTTCAGGGTGGGTATTGCCCCTTAATGCCCACTTCTGGAACCGCCTATGCTTGCCATGGTTTTCTTTTGAAACAGTTGAATATTTATTTCACGTTAAACCTTGTTGAACTTACAATCTTACTCAATAATGATTACTCCATCAAGTAAA